CAGAGAGGGAAACAAGCCATAAGAGACTCTTAGCTATAGGAAACAAACAGAGTTGCTGGAGGGGAGGTGGATGGGGAGCTGGGGTAGCTGGGTGATGGGCATTAAGGAGGGCACCTGATGTAATGAGCACTGGGTGTTATATACGACTGATGAATCACTGAATTCTGTCTTTGAAACTAATAATACACTATATGTTAATTAATTGAATTAAAGTAAAATAAAATGTCAGTGGGAAACCAGGTAAGATCTAAATATTCTGCTCATTATGTTTTATAATAAAACTCTCCTTGATACACTCTTCTACAGAGTATTTGTTGAGAATAAGGAATTATTTGTATGTTTATTCAATTGGCCCAAGAAGTCAGCCACTGCCCCAAATAGGGCCAGACTCCTTTTACTGGTATTGACATTCAGATAACTTAAAAATAAATGCTCTGGGGGCACCTGGCTGGCTCAGTTGGTAGAGCATGCAACTCTTGACCTTGGAGGTGTGAGTTGAAGCCCCATGTTGGGCATAGAGATTACTTAATTTTAAAAAATGCTGTCATTCTGCAGAGGTTGCTAACTTTATTGCACTGGATGTCTTCCTTATGCCCTTCTAAATCTATCCTCCACTCTTCTACAGCCCACTGTGCCTCAGAAGGCTGACCTGTATGGAGTGCTTCCACAGGCTTCCTTCTCTTCCGATTTCAGTCTGGTTGGTCATTGGGGAACACGAGAAGGTAACTGAAAGAAGGAAGAGATTGAGGTTGGAAGGCAATCTGATTGATCCTTTGACATAATTGATGTCAGGTGATTCTCTCCACAAAGGCCTTTTGGTTTCTGAATCCAGTAGCTGCTACCTTTCCCTCATCCCTCATTCAGAGAGGTAACATCTCCTCATCAAGTGTGTCTAGCTCTGAGGCCCTACATTATCCTTTGAGGTATTTCTACCCATATATATATTTTTTTTAATTTAAAGATTTTATTTATTTATTTGACAGAGAGATAGCTAGAGAGGGAACACAGCAGGGGGGAGTGGGAGAGGGAGAAGCAGGCCTCCTGCCAAGCAGAGAGCCTGATGTGGGGCTCGAGCCCAGGACCCTGGGATCATGACCTGAGCCGAAGGCAGATGCTTAACGACTGAGCCACCCAGGCGCCCCTCTACCCATATTTTTGTATATAATCTATTAGACTCTCCTCAGATTATTAAATCTGAAAGGCCTCTTTCCTGTCAGCACACCAGTTGATACACTGAAGTGGCAGATGATCATTTATTTGCAACATGGTGGAAGAGGCATGTTTGCCGTAGAAGAGAATGAGAGAGAGAGTGCAAGATGAAGAGGGAAAGTCCCAATGCCATGGAGATCTGAATTCCAGCCTCCAAAGCCCTTGTTTCTTAAGCTCCCCCTTCCGTTCCTTCAGTTACCTTAGTATACTCCATGGCAAACAGGCAAGTAACAGGAAGCCCATTCATGTCTAGACCAATTTGAGTTGAGTTTTCTGTTACTTGCCACGAAGTATACTAAGGTAGCCCATGGCCTACGAAACTGCGAAGTCCCGAGATAGGTTGTGCTTCAGAATTAGTTGATCTAGTAGTTGAATAATGTATCATAGACCCTGTTTGCCATACACAGTGTCAGCTTCGATTTAGGGTCTGGATTTCTACATAGTTATAAAAAGGCAGTTGTATCCATTCCCCTAACATCTGGTGGGAGGCAGTTGCTTCCAGGTACTTTCTCAGAAAATTCAGTAAATTTCTTTTCCTGAAACTCTCAACAAACCTCTCCTTGCTTCTCATTGGGCCATATAGTATCACATGCCCATCCTTGAACCAGTAACTATGGCCAGGAAGTAGGATTATGCTGACAAGTGTAAACCAGAGCATAAACCTTTCTCTTCCAATCAGGAGTAGGTTAGTTTCCCCAAAAGCACATGGTGCCACAGTTGGGATGGAGGGGGAGCCTGGATAATGAGGAAGGAAATAGGGGAGATACCAAGAGCAAAGGGAACAGATCTTGGGGAGATAACCACAATATCTTCTATGCTTTCCTAGCTATATGTAAGTCAAAAGTTTATTTCCTGCTTAAACTATTTTTTTTTAAGATTTTAATTATTTATTTGACAGAGATATAGCGAGAGAGGGAACAAAAGCAGGGGGAGTGGGAGAGGGAGAAGCAGGCTTCCCGCGGAGCAGGGAGCCTGATGCGGGGCTCGACCCCAGGACCCTGAGATCGTGACCTGAGCCAAAGGCAGACGCTTAATGACTGAGCCACCCAGGTGCCCCTCCTGCTTAAACTATTTTATGTGAAGTTTCTTTCCTGTCTTGAAAATGATTAATGATTAATTCAATGAGGAGTAGCTTGGTACTTGTTCTGGCTGTGCCATTTTCTAGTTGTGTGACTTTGGTCATGTCATATAAGCCACCTATGCCTTAGCTGCTTCTTCTATAAAATGAAGGTTAATAACATCTGCCTGACAAGGTTGCTCAGAGCTCCAGCGAGATGGGAGATATGAAAGCATCTTGTAACCTATAAAAGGCTAAACAAATGTGAGGGCCCTTTATTAGCAGTAGCTTTGTTGTTGCCACACCCTGGAGATCAAGCTGCTCTCTTTAGTGAGAAATTAGATGCTCCCACCTGGCTCAGAAATGCTAAATTGGGCGCCTGGGTGGCTCAGTTGGTTAAGCAACTGCCTTCGGCTCAGGTCATGGTCCTGGAGTCCCGGGATCGAGTCCCGCATCGGGCTCCCTGCTCGGCGAGGAGCCTGCTTCTCCCTCTGACCCTCCCCCCTCTCATGTACTCTCTCTCATTCTCGCTCTCTCAAATAAATAAATAAAATCTTTAAAAAAAAAAAAAAAAAAAGGAAATGCTAAATTGCTAACAACCTCCCTAAGGTTTTATCCTCTTTCTTTTTCATAAGAGACCTCTCTGAGCTGTTAAGAGCCAGAGGTGGAGTAAATTATCCAGTTTTCTCCACTGCTCTGGAAAAGAACCAAGATGTGTACAGGTCATTCTAGTCAATCCAAAAGCACTTATTCAGCACCTTCTGGTGTCTCCTACTGTGGTAGGTATAAATATAACCATAACAACCTGTTAGTGTGAATTATCACAGAGAGAACAGCTCTCAATGCAGCTGGAGATTAGTTAAACAGCAAACATTGTGCTGTCTTCCAGGCATTATGCAAACTCATATCAATGTAAGGACTTTTTTGAGTTGACTGTGATAAGAAAGAAAAGCACTGAAGGAAATGATTATATGGTTAGGAATTTGGCAAGGTCAGTTTTTTACGTAGGCTGTAGACTGAATGATACCTGTGAATCTATGTTTCCCTCTCCAGGCCCCTAGAGATGAGAAACCTTCTTTGGGAAAACAGTAACTTGGTTCAATTTAATAAAAATACTCTCAGTATGCAGAGTAATTATGGAGATATGGAGAAAGATTCTTTCTCCCTGCAACTGCATAAAACTATTAGAGTTAACTACACTGAATAAACTCAAAGTCTGATGCTGTAGCAGTTCTCACCAGGAGAACATCTCCCAAATTTCCCTCTTGCCTTCCCATTCCAGTATATATCAGTGAGTAAGGGAAGGGAAGGATCAGGCCTGTGCAGTTTGATAAAAAATGACCCCCAAACACACTTTGAGACCCACTGGTCTAAGAGTGAGTTTTGTGTACCTAAGAGCCCCCATTCACTTCATCCAGTGTTTTCTCCCATTATACCACAGAAGCTCAAGGGATAAGTAACTTCTTGGTCCAGAACCCTAGAGCCAGCACATAAACGTGGAGCCTGTGTTTCTTTTTTTTAAAGATTTATTTATTTATTTATTTATTTATTTATTTATTTATTTATTTATTTATTTATTTCAGAGAGAGACAATGAGAGAGAGAGAGCACATGAGATGGGGGAGGGTCAGAGGGAGAAGCAGACTCCCTGCCGAGCAGGAGCCCGACGCGGGACTCGATCCCGGGACTCCAGGATTATGACCTGAGCCGAAGGCAGTTGCCCAACCAACTGAGCCACCCAGGCGCCTGGAGCCTGTGTTTCTATACAGTTTTCTTTCCCACTGTTCCATGCTGCTTCATGCTCATTGTTGACATAAACCTCAACAGGGAGTATATGAGAAATATGTATTGCCCTTCTGTTATGTTTAGTACACTATGATAGAACTACAAGATAAATATATATATGCATATATTTATAAGTGTGTATATATATATATATATATATCAAGGTCTTTCATTTTATTGGTATTTTAAATCTAGTTAGGAAGACAGGATATATCCTTAAAAAGATTTAAACACAAGGAGCATGTGCTTAGTGTCAAATGAGTGATTTAGACCAGTAATTGCAAGTAATTTGTTGATAATGAAGCAAATTTTGTAAATGATTTGCTTTATAAAATATATTTGAACAGATTATAAGGATAATAAAGATATCCACATTTCTATATGCTTTCTTAAGCTGGGGAGAGAGGGGTAGAATTATATCCAGCTAGCCAGAAATGATAAATTGTGCATAACAATAAGTCATTTAACATGTAACTTTACTAAGTGTTTCTATGAGTATATGAACAAAAGGCTGAGAACTGTTCATTTATACACAGAACTTTGGAATTTCCTAATATAGACAGTTATTGAAGGCTAGTGATTTTGGAAATTTTTGTAAAGAAAATGAGAGTAGAATTGCATTTTGATTGAACTATAGGATTTAAGCAGACTATACAGAGATTGTGGGGAGTGGGAGGAAGGGTTCACTCCAGGCCCTAGATATGTCAAGTAACTGTATGATTTAGAGCAAGGGAAACTAACATTGGATAAATAGTTGTCATATGACAAGGAGTTTGTTAGATACTTGGCATGTATCATTTCATCTAATACTTAGGAGAACCTGAGACAATTGGGATTACTTTCACAGTTTCCCAGATAGGAAACTGATCTCAGGAGAGAAAAAGTAAATTGCCCAAGGTCAACCAACTAGGAAGTGAGGTAGATTAAATATGGCCACAAATTATTTTCAGCTCCTGTCACCAAGACCAGCATATATCTGGAGGTTGAAAGGCCACATGGAAAGCGCCCCAGCAAAACCAGACATGTAAGTGAGGTCATGAAAAGCCTTCTAGCCCCCACAGACTCTCCAGCTGAATGCAGCCCTATGAGTGAGCTCGGGTGAAACCAGAAGAGGAACTGCCCAGCTGACCCACATAAATGTGAGAAGTAGTAAATTGCTATTGTTCCAACTGCTGTGTTATGAAGTGATTTGTTACACAGCCCTAGATAACTGAAACAGCCAAGCTTTGACTTTAGGCTTTTCTTGTTCCAGTGCTGTTATTCTTTCCATGACACATATTACTACTTTGTTATTGATAACATAGGAGTATTTGATAAGATAATCTATAAGGCTCCTTTGAATTCTTAATAGAATGATATTCTAGATGCATGGAGTTGGGAAATCCAAGATGTGTTTGGAGAGCGGGAGGAGGCCAGTCTAAGTAAGAAGGTTATCGTCAAAGAGGTACTAGAAAGAAAATCTTCCAGTATAATGATTAAGAGCAAAAGCTGGGTTTGAATCCTAGGTCCACCTCTCAGTAGCTTTGGGCAAGTCACAGAACCTCCCTGTGTCTTGGCATTCCCATTGTGAAAAGGTGATGAAAATAGAACCTTCCTCCTAGGGTTGTTGTAAGAATTTAATGAGATAATGTATGTACTAACTTAGAACAGGTACTGACTCACAGTGAGAACTCAATATGTGGACACCAAGTAGACTAAGGAAGACACCAGAAGCAGAGAGTCCAGCCTGCCCTTGAGGTGAGGGTAATGTCAAAAAGGCAGTGTTTGACTCTGGTGATAATGCTTGCCTGTGGCAATAGCAGGACCCTTCTAAATATTTAAGAATCTTGGAAACTTTTGTGGATGGACTGCTGATTTTTTTTTTTTTTTTTTTTGCATCTCCATGTTAGGAGCAGAGAAAATTTTCATTATCATGATAGCTGGTATAAGGACTTCTTTTAACATAAGTCTTTAACATATACATAATATGTTCAACTATAAAGTATTCACAACTTTTTGTCTATCTGATCACTATTATGAAAATAATTAGGAATCATGGAGTCAGAGTTCTAGTCATTAATTCAGTAAATATTAGTGCAGTATTTGCCATGTGCTAGGCTCTTTGCTGGGCCCTGGGGAAAATAATAGTACAGGGAAACCAGGATGGTTTTTGCTCTCACTGAAATTACAGTGGAATGGGGAATTTGAGACAAAGTAAGGAGGCAGTTACTGTCCAGGGGGATGAATATTTTGTTGGGGAAAGTTTGGGATACAGTGGGTGCTTGTAGGAGGTACTTCTGACCCAGACTGAGGAGAGAGACCAAATAAAATATATTTCACTTCCTGAAATAAAGTGACCTAAATGGATAGCTGAGAGATAAGTAGAAGTTAGCCAAGATGATGCCTGAAAATTTGCCACAAGTCTAGTTTGTTTAAATGGTGTGTTCACCTTGAGGAGTAGTGTAGGAAATGCTGCATAGTTGGGAGAGGTGAAGGGTTCCCTCTGGTCTTAGAATTTTATTCCTGACAGCTAAGGATAAGATGACAGCAGTTGACTGGGACCTAGAGGTAACTGAACAGTGATATAATAAAACTGACCTAGAGAAAGCATTTGAATAGGTGACCCAGAGAGACAAAAGAATGGAAAAAGGGTGAGATTAAAGGATAGCTCATATTTCAGGTTGTAAATGTTCAGATAAAGTGGTATTAATGGGAAAAACAAGTGTCAGATGACATGAAGTCTGATCTTGGTTTGACCATTAACTGCCTTTTAGTATATGGTGTTAGTTAGAAATAGTCCCTCTCTGAGACTGATTTCTCCATCTCCAACCTGTATGTGTTAGACTACAGTTGACTCGAACAACACGGGTATGAACAAGCACGGGTCCAACTTATATGCAGATTTTCTTCAGTAAATACAGTACAGTACTATAAATGTATTTTTTCTTCCTTACGATTTTCTTAATAACATTTTTTCTTTTTTGCAGCTTACTTTATTGTAAGAATACAGTATATAATACATATAATGTACTAACAATGTGCTAATTGACTGTTTATGTTATCAGTAAGGCTTCTGGTCAACAATAGGCTTTTAGTAGTTAGGTTTTGGGGAAATCAAAGTTATACTCAGATTTTTGACTGGGTAGGGTGTCAGTGCCCCTAACCCCTGTGTTGTTCAAGGGTCAACTGTATTTGAAAGGAGACCAGAAAGGAATGCTACAGAACAGAAAGTGAAAGTGGTCAGACTAGCTGAATAGTATTCCAATTCGGTAACATTGTCATTTGAGCCCCAACCTGGCCAAAGCACAGAGGATTTTCAGATCTGATGTTGAGCAGGTGAAGTCAGTATTACCAGTTCTCTAAAGGGAACTAAGCTTTCTAGACTTAGAGCTCGTTCCTCTGATTATTCGTTGAATGTTTGTGGAAGAAAGTGGACTATGATTTTTACTTCGTTGCCTGTCTCTCTCCCTGCTCTTCTCACCCTTCTGCTGTTATAAGGAACTCAGAGAAGGTATATGAAAAAATGAGCCTAGAGGAGCAGAACCCAAACCAAAGCCTAGTGAATGCAAATGTTCACATTTCAGGTCTCAGAGTGGGAATGATCTTTAGAAAACTGTAGTGGACATCTATTGTTTTGGGTGGCTGACACCCCATCTTTTCATCTTGGGACAGTAACCTCCCTTCTGTTTGAACCCTGATTCCCCCACTCTAATCATGTGGTTCCCAAAGGGGCTAGAAATCATAGTATTCCTCACCCTTGGCACAGAAGTAATGTGTCACTCAAGCCAGGGCAAAGGGAGATTTTGCAAATTGGGATTAAGAAGAAGGGGTTCAGTCCTTCTCAGATAGCAAAACTGAGATGGAGTCAGAAGCTAGTGGTAGCCATGGCCTTTGCTGCATAATGAAAAAGTATTGCTCGACCCAGAAATCTTCGTTTTCTGTTGGCAGTGACTCCTTACTGTGTTCAGAGATAAGGCTACTCCTGGTCCTGGGCCCCTCATAGGTCCGGCTCTCCTGCACCAGCCCCTTACTTCTGCTGCTTGGTATTTTTACAGTTTACTAAGTGGTACTTTTAAATTGCTTTTCATGGGGCACCTGGGTGGCTCAGTCAGTTAAGCATCCAACTCTTGATTTCAGCTCAGGTCATGATCTCAGGGTCATCAGATTGAGCCCCACATCAGGCTCCATGCTGGGCGTGGAGCCTGCTTAAGATTCTCCCTCTCCCTCTCCTTCTGCCCGCCCCCACGCACACTTGCATGCACGTGCTGTCTCTCTTAAAAAAAAAAAAAATTGTTTCTTACAATGATCCTTTATGGTAGACATGATGTTTTGTATCAAGGATAACAGGGTGAAGTGACCTGTTATTAAGTTACCAAAGCCAGTAAGATGGAGCTGTCCGTGTCCTTTACGGAACCCTTCCGTTTTCTCTTACAAAACCAACTAAAGACACATAGTGTGTAAGAGGTAGAGCAAGGTCTTGAATCCAGGATGTTCAATAAATACCAATCAATAAATAAGATGGTGCTAGAGCCAAGCACCATTCTCGGGCCCAGGGTACAGTGTGGAACAAGACACAGTCTCTCTGTCATGAAACTGATAAAACAGTGTGAAAACAGACCAGTAAACAGGCAATTAGAATAAAGTGTGGTAAATGCAAACACAGGGGGAGTATAGGGTCCTTCTGAAGCAGGTGAGAGTAAACCAGATCTGAGTTAGGAAAAGCTCCACAGCAGGGTCACTGCCGGCCTATATGGTACCTGTCTGTGAATCAGGAAAAAAGGTGCCCTTTCCTCAAAATACTTAATTGCCAACTGCCAGAAAATTGTAATAAAAATATATAAATCTGTAATATCTATGCTGCAATTGGCACACCCTAGTTATGTGCAGTATGCAACCTGCACAGCTGTGTGTGGCACCCTGCTTCCCAGAGGAAAGAATGTTTAAGCTGAAATCTAAAGGGCAAAAGTGAGTAGTTAGCAGACTCCCTACCTGTAGGCCCGTGGCATGTCCTGGAATTGGGTCTGCTGCCAAACAGGCCGTTATTTCTTTAGGCTGCACGGCCCTCCTGTGGCTGCTCTTGTGTCCTCATAGACACTGCACCCTTTCCCTTAGCTTTAGCCTGCTCTCCCGGGGAACCCAGAGCACTCTCTCCCTGCAGGTCTCCCTGCAGGTCATACAATCTCCCCAGACCTGTTTGTCTTCCAGAGACTAGGTGAAGAGTTTGTGTTTCTGGAACGTAGCCCTCAGTGGCGCTTAATTCGAAAAGGAAGAAACCCCAAGAGAAAACCTGATCCTCTCTGGGAGGGGTTAGCCTGGAGGGTACAGTATCTGAAGGCCTGCGGATTATGGAGCCTTCTCCTCATTGGCTGCTAATTATGGCATCCCCTTGACTGCAGTTTTTTGTTTTTGATTTTTAACTGTGGTGCTTAGCTCAATAGGAGAAATAAATGAGAAGGGAGCATGGAACCCTGCTGCTCTGAGAATCCTAAAATATCAGACCTGAAAGAAATCCCATGGTATGCTCCCCCACCCAGCATTTTTATCTAAGTGAACATAAACAGCAAAGGCAGACTTAAAAGGGAGTAGAAAGGGCTTGGTTTTATAAGAGAAAACGGAAGGGTTCAGTAAAGGACACGGACAGCTCCATCTTACTGGCTTTGGTAACATGGGGGGTTCATGTGTTGCTGGAATGTATATGAGTATTAGATATTTTAGAACCAGCTGACAGGGGAGCTATTTTCCTTCCCAGATCATCTGCACCTATATATAAAGATAGAACAGAGTCACATTTCGATGCCCTGGATGTCTTGATCATGAATTTAGCTCCACTTTTGAGATGTTACTAGTCCCCATTCCTACACTCTACTGCTTATCATAATGCTTGTTATATTGTGTTATGTTATGTTGTTATTTTATGTATATTATATTATGTTATTCCTGGGTTTACTGGAAATTCTTTTCATTCTACACCCTCTCCTTTTCATGCCTCTCTGCAGACTCTTCCAAGATTAATTTAGGGAAGCTGTTAAAATCTTAGACTGTTCAAATGGAAGAACATTAAAGAATGTCTGGCCTAGTTCTGCAGATCATAGCTAAGGAGCACAGGCCCAGGGGGGCATTGAATGACAAAGGTCAGCCAGGGAGTTAGAGACAGAGCTTA